AGAGGCATGGGAGACATAAAACTCCAAGAGAGAGGCGGCAGATAAGTAACGCTGGAAGGGCAGGAAAAGAGAGGTCAGGCCGATAAAATGGCACACGCCTTTAATCCCAGCACTTGGAAGCAGGTAGATCTCAAAGTTCAAGGCTAACCTGATCTGCAGGGCAATTCCAGGACAGCCAGGGCTACCCAGAGAAGCCCTGGCTTGGGGAGTGGAGGAGGGGGGAGAAGCAGTAAGTCAGGAATGCACTGTCTGTTTAGGAATTCTCCTGTGGAAAAGCAGTGAGGAATCAGAAAAACAGCTCTGGCCCAAAATCAGGATGCCAGGCTGGAGGGAGACGCAGAGGGGTTTGCTTGGAACTTGCTCTGTAAACCAGGCTATTCTCAAACTCGGAGATCTGCCTGCCTCTGTCTGCAGAGTGACATCCACCACCACTGCACATGGTTTAAAATATATAAAGCCTGAAGCCGGGCGTTGGTGGCGCACATCTTTAATCCCAGCACTCGGAAGGCAGAGGCAGGCGGATCACTGTGAGTTCGAGACCAGCCTGGTCTACTGAGCGAGTTCCAGGACAGCCTCCAAAGCCACAGAGAAACCCTGTCTCGAAAAACCAAAAAAAAAAAAAAAAGCCTGGCATTGTCTCAAGGACACTGAAAGCTGGGTGACCACAGATCAGTCAGCTGCCTTGAAAATGTGAGAAAAAGATTTCCTGCCTGAATTTGGCTCCTGGAAAAGGGTCAGCCTAGTAGAAGACAGAAAATAGGCATTTTCAGTGATGTAAGGTCCCAGAAAAAGAAAGAGCCCCTCTTCCAGGAAGTGTTTGGAGTGCATACTCCTTTAGGTGTTGAAAGCCATGGGCAGGGTGAGCCCCTACCTGGGGCAGGAGCATGGCTTATATATAGGGACCCAGAGTGAAGGGGGGAGACTTAAGATTAGTGAGCACTAGGGCAGTTGTCAGTACCATCATGGGACTTAAAAAGAAAATTACTGTTCAAAACTAAGTGAATGCATTATCCTCCAACCAGAAACAAACTGAATTTTATAAGAAACTGTCACCGGGCAGTGGTGGTGCACGCCCTTAATCCCAGCACTCGGGAGGCAGAGGCAAGCAGATCTCTGTGAGTTTGAGGCCAGCCTGGTCTACAAGAGCTAGTTCCAGGACAGCCTCCAAAGTCACATAGAAACCCTGTCTCAAAAAAACATAACAACAAAAAAAAACCTGTCCCCATGCCAGGTGGTAGTGATGGCTCATGCCTTTAATTCCAGCACTCGGGAGGCAGAGGCAGGCAGATCTCTGAGTTCAAGGCCAGCCTGGTCTACAGAGAATGTTCCAGGACAGCCAACTCTGCTACACAGAGAAGCCCTGTGTTGAAAACATAAATAAATAAAAAAATAAACCTGTCCTGTCCTCAGTCATTTCATGAATAGCATTCCCTAATCCCACCCCTTGGCCAGCTGTTGACTGACACATGGCAGAAGCCCTCTGGGGGGGCATGGGGCAGGAGAGGTGAGGGGGGCCAGGGATGGGAAGACCATGGAAAGCACAGAATAGAGAACGGCAGGAGCAGATTATACTACATTATGTGCAAAGGTCCTTATGCTCACAGGTAAGTTAGGGAAACCAGGAATGTTCAGATTATACTACATTATATGCAAAGGTCCTTATGCTCACAGGTAAGTTAGGGAAACCAGGAATGTTTGCCTCTTCCAAGAGATGTATAACCTGTTTTCCACCCAGAAGGCTGGAACAGAGTTGACTAACAGCCTATGTGACCCCTGGGCTATCTGTAGGGCCAGGCCAGACCTGGCTTCCCCAGGCTCCCACAGGCAGAATAGTGACCTCTGCACTACCTGTATGACCAAGACCACATCAGATCCTCCCCTAGGCCCTCAGAACACGTCATTTCTCTATAGAACCTGTCTTCATGGAAGAAGTGGCATGAGAAGACTTTCAATGTGTGCCTCATTACGCTCATGGTATTGTGTTACACCAGGAAACAAATTGTACAATACTTAAATATGACTAAAGCCAGGTGGTGGCGGCGGCAGTGGTGGCAGTGCACGCCTTTAGTTCCAGTGCTTGGGAGGCAGAGGAAGGCAGAGCTCAGTGAGTACCAGGACAGCCAGGATTGTTATACAGAGAAACTGTCTCAAAAAACAACAAACATGTATCTATATTTATACATAAATTAAACTGTCCCTGTCAGACTCTGCCCAATACCAGCTTCTGAGTTGTGTTAGATTTCCTCTTGCCTCAGATGGTTACACTACTGGCTCTGGTGATTGCAGAGACTCTGCATTTCATACACACACACACACACACACACACACACACACACACACACACACACACACACACAGGGAACTGATCCGAAAAGTCTGATCCTATGCTGGGAAGTGGTCTACCACTGAGCTGTATCCATCACCATCTTTAGAACCGCTGTTTTGGGATAGTCTTGTGCTGTAACCCAGTCTGATCTCGTGAGTTCCATGCCTCAGCCCTCACAATGTTGTATCACAATCTTGCACCACTCTGCCCGGCTAAATAGCATGTTTCATTTTTGTTTTGTTTTTTTTTGGGGGGGTGGTTCTGGGACTTGAACATGTGACTTTGAGCAAGTTAGTTTTCTTTTTCTCTTTTCCTTTCAAGACAGAGTTCCTCTGTGTAGCTTTGTAGGCCTGGCTGCCTTGGACTCATGGAGATCTGCCTGTCTCTGCCTCCCAAGTGCTGGGATTAAAGGTGTGAGCCACCACTGCCTGGCAACGGAAGTGCTATATCAAGCTACACCTTCAGCCTTGTATATACATAATTTATACAAAGTATATATTTGTTGCACCTATGGATCACATGCATATATAAAACATATAACTTATTTAATAACAAACCCTAGTTCTGGGCTGAGATGTGTTAATCCAATGAGGACTAGGGAAACCCTGAATCTGACCCTCAGTCAGGCCCCCAAGCCACCCTGCTGGAGGCTTCTCCCACTTGGACCGCTATTCAAATTTGATAAAGCACTCCCACCACACTCACCTTGGTAAAGGAACACATACCCCCATAAAAACTGACTAACAGTCCAGTCTTGGAAATGCCCAGCAGCAGAGGTAGAAGAACTAGGACGGGTCTCCACACACACACACACACACACACACACACACACACACACACACACACACACACACACACACGCATGTACGTTTGCTCCCACGTCAAAAACAGGCAGGGGCAGGAGGAAAGTGTAGCTCAGAACAAGCCTCGACTGGACTTTGAGAACCAGAGGCTCCCTCTCCTGCCCAGAAGAAGGGCTGACATCTGCTGTGGCTTTGTGAAGACACAGTGTGCTCACAACCCCACAATCCCATCCTGGGAGCCTGAGGGAGAGCTGGTGGAGATGGTGGACAGCCTCCAGGAAGCACCATGCTGGTGTAGCTCCTGCAGTGGAGTGGGCACACTGATGTTGAGCTGCACTAAGAAGGGACCTATTCCCGGGGGAGGGGTGCGCGGCTCCATTTCCATCTCCCAACCAATGTGCGCAGAAAAGTGCACCCTCAGCCCTGAGGGCTGCACATAACCTCCCAGCTGATGTCCCCCTCCCGGTGGATGACCACTCCACCAGGACACTAACAGCTCCCCAGCTCCCGCAGGAGCCTGGCCTGTGCTTCCTGTGGAGCTTAGTCCAGCTGCTGCTTCTAGGTGGACCCTGGCCACAGGGCTCTCTACCGCACAGCAGCAGCTCATAGGAACCCCCCGCCCCCGCCCCAGGAACACCTCTGGCCAGAGAAGATGGTGCTGAAATAGTACACACCTTGCCCAGCTGAATGGGGTGGCCTGGGGATGGGGGAGACAAGGGCTGGTGGCTGGTAACCCAGCCAAGCACAAGGGAGTCCTGACGCTAGTTCATTTGACAAATGCTGCTACGACTCAAGGTTTAAATCCGTGATTTAAGCGGAGCTGTCAGATGTGAGGACACACATTAGCAGGGAGCTGAGTGACCAGGTCCCCTATGTGGATCACTGGGTCAGAAACAGGCGTGTTTAAGGCAGGCTTGGCTGAGATGTGCAAGCTCAGATATCAGGGTGACAAAGTCGTGATTCCCCACACCATGGCCAAGTTCCCCATCCTCAGCATAGGCCATGACTGTATGATTGGCAAGCCTGCCAAGGTCTTGACTGCTCCCCCCTCCCCCACTTCTGGGCAGCAGGGGCATTTTCAAGGCTGGACTTGGTCGTGTGCAACTCAGCTTTCTGGTTGGATTATTCCCCTGGGACAAATTCCCAGAAGTGAGATTCCCCAGTGGAAGGACAGCTGTCTTCCCGCCGCTCACTGGAATCCCTCAGAGTCCCCCCTGTCCTGGGATGAGGCTCCAGCCTCCAGGAGCAGCAGCTAATCCTGCCCGGCACTTCCGGAGGAAGATGACAGATCTGGCCCTTTCCTGTAGGAGCTAATTAGCGGCCCAACGCGTCTATGGCTGTCAGAGCGATGAGCGCCCAGGTGACTCAATGTCATTTTTCTGGGGCCCGCCTGGATTGCTCAGCCATCCGGTGATGAATTTTTCTTCTTGGAGGTGGCAGAAAGCAGGAAGGCTGTCCTGCAGTCCCCAGGGAAGCGGGGCTGGCTGTCCGCAGCTTCGGGGCGGGCAGGAAGGAGGCTGAAGGCCGGGCGGCAGATAATCCCTCAGTCCTTTTAGACAACAAAGGGTTGCTGCCTCCCCGCCCCCACCCCGGCCCCTCTGACCGGCTGGACCAGAATGCCAGGCAGAGGGTTAAGGAGGCCCAGACCTCCCACCCAACTCCTCACCCCAGCTCAGGATCCCGGCTAGATCCCAGGGCAGAGAAGCATGGTGGGGAAATGGGGTATGCAGGCCTCTCCCAGAGGCAGCCCCTTCTTCCAATCACCGGAACCGTTTTTTGGGTGACCACTATTTGGGAAGGGTGCCCCACAAAGGGAGCACTGAGGGAAGGAAGAGAACGCAGGGAAGGCCCTGGCCTCCCGGTCTCCAACAGAAGGGGGTGGAGTTCTCGTTATTCCTGGTCCCTGGACAGCTGCCTGGATGTGAGGCTGATTGGCTCCCTTTACCTGCTGAGGAGGAGACAGCAGGGCCTGAGGTGGGTGGGCACCCTCCAAGGCCACCTACAGAGTGCCTTGGGTGTATGTGCCCCTGAAAGCAGGGACAGGTGAACCCCGAAAGGCTAATGTTGGAGCCAGGCCCAGCATGCACCTCTCATGAGACTTGAGCCAGGGTCTGCCTTTCCAGAGAGGAGGTTTTCCTGCTCCTGGGGATGAAGGGCAAAGGCAGGAAGGGCTGGCTGTAGGCACAGTGTCCACTCTCGTCTGGATTAAAGCCCTCTTCATACCTGAGGAAAAGGAGACACAGGCTCTCAGCTCGCCTGGAGAGCTGAAGGTGGGGGACTCCCTTCCCCTCGCCTCCTGGGGCTACACCACTTAACTAAGTGCCTGCTCTGTGTCTTGTCCTCACTTCCTGTCTACCCTCATCCTGTCCTGCCAACCATTGCGGTCTATCCCAAGCACAGACAGCTTCCATCCATTCCCTTTCATAGAAGGGGATTTGTCCACTGCCCATGCAAAACTACTCTCACCTGGAGGTGGCCCTCTTTGGTCTGGGGGCAGCTGGAACAGTCATACTTGGGTGGACTGGGGGCTTTCTGTGGGTGGAGCCAATGCCAGCAGATAAGAGCCGCATGGCAGGCAGCCTTCTAGTCTAGTTGAGAGACACTGAATGCCTCTCCAAGGAGTCTCAGCCACAAGCCCAGTTAATTCGGGGCACCCATCCAGGACCCACTGACCGCAGACATTCTCCCAGAGCTATCTTTTTAAACATTTAAAAAACACTTGTATGGTGGGGGAGGGGAGCAAGCAGGCCCGTGTTGCCGGAATCGTTTCTCCCACGTGTGCGCGCTTCAAGATTGGAGCTCAATGGTCAGTCAGGTTTGGCGGCAAGCGCCCTTACCCACCACGCCATCTCGCTGGTCCCCATTCTTAGACCTTGTATGACTCAGAACACAAGTCTCAAGAGAGTCACCTTCTAGAGTCACCTTCTACAGACGATCTGGAAAGGCGGGGAGAGCCTTGGTGTCCAGATCCAGGTCAATCTGGTTCCTCCCACACAAGGCCATTGCTTCTATGAGTCCCCTCTTCTCTTCCTGGAAAGGGAATGCAGCCCTGGGGCCCTGCCCGTGGCACCTCCAATAAGCAAGCCTTCTGCCACTCCTGCAGGCTGCCTGACTGAACCGGGCAGGCCTGCAGGCAGGGCTGTGACCTCAGAGTCCCTCCTACTGTAGGTCACTCTGGGTCACTCTGTCCAGGGGTCATGACCTCTTCCAAATGCCCAGTTTCCATTCTGCCTAAAGGGCAGCATGAACAGCCTACTTCCGGGTGGCTGCTGTCTGTCTCTGCCATTGCTTGCAGACTCCTGGCTGACTCTATACCGAGACACTGGTTTACAAAGTCCTTCCTGGTGCCTCTTTTTACTTGTCAGGCTCCCAAACCACGGTCAACAATGTACTACACTGGCCCTATTAGTCTGCCCATCTGCCTGGTCTACCTTCTATCCCAGAGTCCAGGACTGGGCCCCTGCAGAGGCATTGCTATAGTGTTTAAAGGGCCCAAGAGCCAGATCAGTCAGACTCCAGCCAACGATCCCATCTCCCTGAGGTCACAGTTTCCTCTTTTATAAAACGAAGGTCCCTGGCCACCTTAAGTGTGGTGGCACAGATCACTGGCCCTGTGCATGAAGCGCTCGCCACACGGAGTGAATGATGATTTTTTTTTAAAAAGTATGATTTAGTGACACTTGTTGAAGCATGGAGAGGAAGGCTTTCCATTCAGGGCTATGCCAAAGGGTGCAGGCAGGGACTACGGCAGTGGGGTCTGACAGAGACGGAAAGAGAATTCAAACCAGCTGGCTGTAGGAAGGCGGAAGTGCATAGGTGGGAAATGGCTGGGAGGAACTTGCTGGGAGCCAAGAGGGATCTGGATAAACCGATTATTCCTAAGGACAGGGACTGGTTGACCCCTGGGGGCTGTGCTTGATGGTGATTGGATACAGAGCTCCTGCTAAACCGACTACAGATTCTTTGCTAAGGATTTGATTTTATAAGCAAGTGACAAATGAACCTAGACTAAAATAAATAAAAATCCCGGAGCCTATTACTTTGGCTGAAGTAAAGAATCTGATTGTCGCCGGGCGTTGGTGGCGCAAGCCTTTAATCCCAGCACTCAGGAGGCAGAGGCAGGCGGATCTCTGTGAGTTCGAGGCCAGCCTGGGCTACAAAGTGAGTTCCAGGACAGCCTCCAAAGCCACAGAGAAACCCTGTCTCGAAAAACCAAAAAAAAAAAAAAAAAAAAAGAATCTGATTGTCCACAAAGTTGGTCCCTACCCTCAAGTTTACTGAATTTATCACAGACCATGTGCTGCGGACACAGGGGTTTGGAGGGGGCATGAGTCAAACGGGGGAGCTAGGAGGACTTCACTGAGGGGAGTAGGATGCAGAGTCTAAACGGGGAGGTGGGTGGCGTGGAGAGGAGAGTGAGCCAGGCATGAGTTCCTGCAGCCCTGCCAGCCCTGGCCTTCCTTGTCGTTTTAATGATGGTGTGATTTAGTAGGGATGTGGGCCGCCAGAGACAGCCTCATTCTGCGTTTCCTTGGGCATCCTTTACCCTTTAAGGCAGGCTCTGAGAGCCACAATTCCTCGTGGTATGAGTCCAAGGGAATCATCGACTTGACATTCTTGAAATGAGTTCAGCACGGGAGAATTTGGGTGACTTTCGGGAAGAAGGCAAATGAGCTGAGCTGAGTTGCACTAGGATGGGCAGGAGGCAGGGACTATAGGCTTGCGACGAGCAGCTGATGCCTCCTCTCCGGGGCTGCTGTCCTAAGATTTGCCTACAGAAAGAATCTCTCAGTCTGGCCCAACATCCTCCCCAGAATTCTATTTATTTATATAAGATAGGGTCTCACTATGTAGCCCTGGCTGGCCTGTGACTCAAAGAGAACCTCCTGTCTCTGTCTCTTGCCTCTGCCTCCCAAGTGCTGGGATTAAAAGTGCAAGCCATCATATCTGTCTGCTCCCCAGAATTCTAAAATCTGTGGCCCTATTAGACACAAGGGTCTCCATTAAGATGTAAAATATGTATTTTAACAAGTACTGGGGACTGAACCTTGGGTACCATGTGTACTACTCTGAACTACAGCAGCCACCCTGTCATTTAGAAACAAAACAAAGCCAGGAGTGGTGGTGCAGGACTTGAGTCCCAGCACTCAGGGGACAGAGCCAGGTGGATCTCTGTGAGTTTGAGGCCAGCCTGGTCTACAGAGCAAGTTCCAAGACAGCCAGAGCTGATACACAGAGAAACTCTTGTCTCGAAAAGCCCCCAAATAAACCAAACAAAACAACAGGGTCTCATGTAGCTCAGGCTGGCCTCAAACTCTGATCAGCCACCAATGATCTTGCTCCGCCTCCATTTCCCAACTGCTAAGATTACTTACAGACCCGTGTCACCATGCCTGGCCCGAAGCTGTAAATATTATGAAAAGACTGAAATGTAAATAGTTTGTCTGGGGAAAGAAGCATTTTGCTTTCTTGAGTGGAACTAAGAAGGAACCCAATCTCTCTTACAGTCTTCTGGTCTACCAGGCGACCTGACTGGGGTGGAAACTCTCAGCCCTCCAGGTAAGAGTGGAAATGCAAAGGGCAGAGGCTGCCAAGTGCTGGCAGAGTCAAGACCTGGACCAGAGCCAACTCTCCACACTCACCCAGCCCAGGCACCCAGCCACTCCTCTGTGGCTTGTGGCTCCCTGGAATCTGACTTGACGTGATACAAGCGTCTTGGGACACTGGGACTCAGCTGGGCAACTCCTGTGTGACTTGAGCAACCGCTTCAGGTTTATTCCTTCTGGCCTCTGTAGTTGGTGACATTAGCCTAGGTTGTGACGGGGACAGAAGGACAAATGTGAAGCTACGAGCCAGTACCTTGGGCAGAACTCACACAGGAGTGATGAACGGGTGTTTTTGTTTCCTCAGCCCCACTTGGGCCCTTACAGCCTCTGTCCCCCTCTGAGTGGTGCCCCAGCCCTTTGGCAGCACTAGGAACCAGCTGCCTCTTCCCTGTCTCCCTTGCCTGAGATCTGACAGGAGGCAGACCGTGGTAGGTGTCTCTGCAGGCCCCGAATTCTCTCATCTTCCTCTACCTCAGCTCCTCAGCTCACTCATTCCGAGGCCAAATCCAGAATTTCTGAATAAATCTCCGACCCGTGCCCCTCTCAAGCCGAAAGCATATCCCCACCAGTCACCCCAACTCTTGGATTCCATCTTGATGGGGAACCGTCTAGAGCAGTAATTAGCATCTGACCTGATGGAAATTGCAGTGTGCCTCACGGAGAAAATGGGACGGCCACTGGCCTTCACTGTCATCAGGGGAAATGAAAACACTTGTCTGTCTGGGATAGGCCAGTCAGGTGTGGCTTCAGGAACCTGTAATTACAAGTTCCTTGGGGATGCTGGGTGGGGTCCTCTGAAAAGCATGTGCTGCTGTGAACCTGACTTCCTGGGCAGTAGCTCAGGCCCATCCTGGACTGTTTCCAGATTTGTCCATGAAGGCTAGGCTACCCATCACTCTGCCTGCTGCCACTCTGCTAGAGGCCTCATTCCACTTTGGAGATGGGGAAACTGAGAGGCACTGAGGGGCAGACACTGGTTTAATGTACACAGGTCATGGTGGCCAGGATGTTGCCTTTGGATTTGCCATGGGTACGGTCCACCATGGAAGAAAAGGCAAGGTGGCAAGATCCTAGAGCAGCTGGCCACACGGCATCCATGATGAGAAAGCAGAGAGCAGTGGATGCTGGCACTCAAAGCACGTCCCTTTAACGCTGTCCAGGGCCCCAGTGCAAGGCATGGGGCTGCCTAGTTTTATTGTAGGATTTCCCACTGCAATTAACATAAAGTAATCCCTCAGAGGGCAGACTGCCGGCTAATCTAGTCCAGATAATCCCTCCAGGAGTGTCTGGAGTCTATCTCCTTGGCGATTCTAGAGCCTGTCAAGTTGACGGACTAACCATCAGACAAGACTTCACAGCCTCCTAGTGCAGAGTTGGTATCCTGCCCATCATGCCAAACTGCCTTCCACGCCATTACTATTATCCACTGGAATCCCCTGAACAATGGCTAGTGTGGGTATGCTGGCTGGTCCATCAGCTTGCCACAAGCTAGAGCTGTTTAAAAAGAGAGCGCCTCAATTGAGAAAATGCCCCCATAAGGTCCAGCCTGTAAGACGTGCATTATCTTTCCCTTCCTTCCTTCCTTCTTTCCTTCCTTCCTTTCTCTCTTTATCTCTGTCTTTTTTTTTTTTTTTTGAGAAAGAGTTCCTCTGTGTAGCCTTAGTCGCGCTGGTACTCACTCTGTAGAGCAGACTAGCCCACCCACAATGCACTGAGCCCTCCCACATCTCTCTCTCTCTCTCTCTCTCTCTGTCTCTCTCTCTCTGTCTCTCTCTCTCTCTCTCTCTCTCTCTCTCTCTCTCTCTCACACACACACACACACACACACACACACACACACACACACACACGAGAAAGAGACAGAGACAGAGACAAAGACAGACAGAGAGAAAGTCTGTACCCAAAGCCTAGGCCTACTAACTTTTCCGATGCCCCTGGGCCAGTGACTTCTGTTGCTTGGCCTCATACTATACAGCTCATGAGTTGGGCCTGTGTCTGGCCCAAGTCAGGACTCCACAGCGTCTGTTATCCCTCCAGGGACAATCAGTGGCACTGTCTGTCCTTCCCAATGCTGGAAGGAAAAAAATGGATTATAGAGAAATGACTACAGACTAATTTGGCAGCTGCTTTGACCCAGGATGGATGGCCTCAAGGGTGTTAAATGTGCAGCTGCTGTGACTACACAGTCCTAAGGCCCCGCAAGCATTTGTGGCTGATAAAGCCAGTGGTCTGTGGGCTATGAGGGTATAGGCTTCCTAGTTCCCAGGTCCAGAGGCCATGGGCTCTGTCTTCTCTGTTCCTTCAGGAGTTCTCACTTCATCTTCCTCTGGTCTCTCCTGCCAGCTCCTACCACAGAAAACAGATGGAGACCTCTTAAGACTCATCCCAGGCCTCTGGGACACTGTCCTACCAGCTTCCCCTTCTCTGGGCCTGGAGGTCAAAGTCCCAGTCATAGAACCAGGTAATCTGCTAGTGGCTGCAACATCCCAGGACTGGCCCCTCGAGGTCCCAACAGGACAGGAGCCTTGGATGAGTTTGGAGCTGGGGGCAGAGAAAGTCATTCTCCTGCTGCAGTCACAGTTATGGCTTCTGAGCACTTAACAGCAGCCAAAAGTCCCCTTCCCATTGCTCAGAAATACCTTCCCTTGGTCCCTCCATTGGCCACAGGTACAAACAGTTCTTGTCTCAGGCCCACTCTCTGGAGCCCTCCCCTCCCCACAGGCCAAGCAGTGTCCTCCAAGAGCACCTGGGCCAAGGCAGCAGCGGCAGTGAGTGCAGTTAGGGCTGAATTGAAAGGAAGCAGACAGGGCTTCAGTGTCTCTGAGGTCAAGCTGGGCTTTGGGGAGGAGACTGGAGGCACTCAGGAGGACAGGCTGCCCCCAATTCTGTAGGCAGAGGTGGGAAAGCTGCCAGACTGTGCCGTCCTAGAGGAAGATGGATGGGCAGAGTGGAGGCCATGAGAGGTAGCTGAGACTGTCTGGGTGACAAGCCCTAGGTGAGCTGAGGCTCGGGAGATGCCAGCCTAGCACAGTCTTGCAGGGGGAGTTGTGTAAGCAGGCAGAGCCCAGGTCTCCAGGCAGTGTGTGCAATCCCCAGGTATTGAGGACACGGCACAGGATGGGATGGGATGGGATGGGGCAGGGAGGCCGATCATGGGTTTGTTTGGAGACAGTTTCCTGTATTACATAAAAACAACTGTACGAAGAACGAACAACTGCTTCCCTCTTCAGGAGAGCTGAGTGGGAGTGCAGGTGTTCCCAACTTCTTGGCTCCAAACTTCCCGATTATCCATCCACACCCCCCTCCCTTCTGCTCCCCCACACCCCTGCCACGTGCCCCACCTCTGCCTTCTGATTGCCATTTCTGAGGCTGCAGCATCTAATGGGTCCCCTTTAACTTCCCTCCTTTCTGAGCCTCCGTCTCCCTGCAGTTATGGAGTGCTCATACCTGCCCGACCGCTGTGGAGGGTAGCAGGAGGGAGCAGGTGCTTCCCAGATGCAGATCCTGGGGAGAGGAGTCCTCCTTTCTCCTCTGTTTGTCCTGGCCACTTCTGGACTGTAGCTTGGTTACCAGCGAGGCCAGGTGACACCAAGGAGCCCCCTAGTGGCCTGAGGAGTTGCTGCAGCCGGTTGTCCCAGCCTGCCAGCTTCCTGGCCTCTGCAGACAAAGGACCTTTGCTTTACACAGATAGACACCTAGTGTTGTCAGGCCACTTAGCACTTATTATTCTGTGAAATGGGCAAGAAGCAGAACACAAACATCACCTGGATAGGGATTTTTTTGGAAGGGAGGCACTGAGACAGGGTCTCCACATAGCTCAGCCTGTCCTGGAACTTACCATGTAAGGCAGGTCAGTCTGGCCTTAAACTCTTATGTCATCACACAGGGGTTTCCTTGAGGGAGCCTGGACATCTGTACAGAGGTGGCAGGGTCAGAGGGACCCACTCTTCCTGGATTCAGTTATATACTCTGTGTGTGTGTTTGCTTGCATGTGGTTTTTCATGTGTTCATGTGTGTTTGCATGTATTGGCGGCCTGAGGTCAACCTCGGACATCCTTCAGGAACCACCCAACTCATCCCCCCACCATTGAGTAAATAAAAAACTACATGTGTGTACTTCTGTGTGTGGATGTGGACTTCTGTGTGTGGGTATCAGCTCTCCTGGAGCTAGAAGTTACAGGTGGTTACTGGATGATACAGGTACTGGGAACTGGACTCAGGTCCTCTGAAAGAACAGTATGCGCTCTAAACTGCTGAGCCAACTCTTCAGCCCCAACCTTAATTTTCAAGACAGAGTCAGTCACTGAACCTAGAGCTCACTGATTGGATCAGACTGACTGGCCTCAGGGATCCCCCAGTCTTTGTTTCCCCAGCACTGGGACTATAAGTACACACTTTTTACATGACATCTAGGGATCTAACTCAGTAAGTACTTTACTGACTGAGCAGTAGCCCTGACTGTCCTGGAACTCTCTATGTAGACCAGGACAACCTTGAACTCACAGAGGTCTGTCTGCCTCTGCCTCCTGAGTGCTGGGATTAAACGTGTGAGCCATTACACCCGGTTTACTCCAGGGTCTGAATTTGAGTGTCTCTCTTCATACTGGCATTGTGAAGCCTGGGTAAATTGCCACAGCCTGCTGCAATCCTTTGTGAGAGACCCTGAGTTGGAGGTGTGATTCATATTTCTCCAGCCTTGATGTGGGGCTTCCAAACCCACACTGGGAATAGAGACATATAACTTTTCATTTCCCTATGAGTGGAGAGGAGGTGGGAGAGGCTTCCACTGGGGGCCTCGGCTCCACACTGGACTGGGATTTGGACCTGCCTGGGCAAGTCTGGCCAAGCGGTTGGTGAGCAGGTCTGCTGGCTGCGAGGGACTGATTGGCTCCCAGAGTGACAGGAACACACAGAAGATACAAGGCCAGAGACCTCGGAAGGAGAGATCACACTCCTCCAGCAGCCTCTGAGCTGAGGCACGGCTGGAGGCTAGGCTCCTCCAGGAATCTTGTAACGGGGGCTCCATTTCACACCAGGAAGCTGAAGGAAGGCTACTAGAAGATCCTGTGGGGACACCATGGGAATCTATGATATAAAATACCTTACTTTGGGGACCCCAGGGACACACATCACAGCCAGTGGAAGCGTGGGCCTCACAGCTGGGACCTGCAGGAGCTAGTACAGGCTGAGCTCAGTCGCCCCCACACCAAACCCAGAAAAAAGAATGGATGGCGTTTGGGGTGTTGCAGGCTCCTATACCAAGTATTACAGGCAGCCAAGACTAACCACTTTTACCACCCATGGGATGACTAGACAAGGAGCTGTCCCCGTGAGCCTGCTCTCTCCACTGCCAAACAGAATAAACAGTGTTCCCATCAGCAGAATGACAGCCAGAACTTCGGTCTGTGTGTCTCTCACACAGCTTTGAATCCAGCGCACTGGGATCCTGGCTGGCATTTCCTGCACCCTCGCCACTCAGAACAGGATTAGACTGCCCTGGCATGTGAGAGGCCTCGGAGTCAAGGCAGGGCCTCGTGCAGGCCTGGAGCCCAGAGATGCCAGAGAGCCTGGCAGGGCACAGGCGAAGCCGGCACTGCCTTCTCCGGGGAGTGGAGTGTGAGAAGAGGAGGGGGTGTGGCCGGCCTTCCCCACAGGCATGTCTGGCAAAGCTCCAGCCAGCGGCCCCAGGAGATCTGAGCTCGGAGTGTGCCAGCGAGTGTTCTCCGGAACTTCTCAGCAGACAGAGCTTTTGTGGGCACCTGTGCGCACAGGCCACTGCAGAGCTGGGAATGGAGGCACCAGCCAGCAGGCAGGGGAACCGTTGCTCTCTCCACTCTCCCAGGGTGAAGGCGCTGCCGTTTCTGGCTGCAGAGGCTCTGATTTAGACTGAAGTCAGGAGAGTGTTACCACCTGCATCCGGAAAAATAACTTTTACTGAAGCGAATGCATGAACAAGTCACTGTGGAACTTCTCGGGCTTTTTTTTTTAATGATTTGTATTTTATATGCATTGGTGTTTCACCTGCATGTCTGTCTGTGTGAGGGCATCAGAGCCCCTGGAACAGGAGTTACAGATAGTTGTGAGCTGCTATGTGGGTGCAGGGAGTTGAACCTAGGTCCTCTGGAAGAGCAGTGCTTTCAACTGCTCAGCTGTCTCTCCAGCCCCTTTTCAGGGCTTTTAGTGAACCGTATCATGTCTTAAATGTTTAGGAAGGCTTTGTATGGGATGTTTCCAATACTACCTGTGGTGGTTTGAATGAAAATATGCCTCACAGAGTCATAGGGCATGGCATTATTGGAGGTGTAGCCTTGTTGGAGGAAGTGTGTCACTGGAGGTAGGCTTTGAGGTTTCAGAAGTTCAAGCCAGGCCCAGTGACACTTTCTCTTCCTGCTGCCAGTCATCCAGATGGAGAACTCTCAGCTCCTCTTGTTTGCCTGCATGCTGCAATGCTTCCTGCCATTGTTTTAACATCATCACAGTGGCTGCACCTTAATCTACTGTTATTTCAGCCAGTAATTGTGACCCCACAGTTACTGGCCTGCTTCTCTGGCAGCAGCCGGGCTGCTCAGGTCACAGCCTGTTCCCGCAGGTGCCAGCTCTGCTGTTGTGCTAAAGGTAGCATTAACTAAATCTCGATTGTTCTATTTGTAAATAAGACTCGAAGCTGAAAGGCTGGGGTGAACACCTGCTAGCTCAGGCAGCATTGAATAGCACCTAGCTAACCTTTTCAACTCGCTGGCAACTCCCAAAGAGAACATCCTTCCACTCTGCCAAACCAAAAACTAACTAACTAACTAACTAACTAACTAACTAACTAACTAAATAAATAAATAAATAAATAAATAAATAAATAAATAAATGCTGCACCACTCCAAATCCCTCCCTACATCTTCCCGTGTCTCTCTATCTCTCCTGGATGCCCTCTGCTGCTCTATGATTACTTTCTGTTAACTGGTTGCTAACTCAGCCACCTGACCCAAGGTTAATGTATTTAATTAACACAAATTTCCGTCCACAGTGTGATAGAATATCCCCCCAACGACAATAAAGGACTAAACCTCTGGAACTGTAAGCCAATCCCAATTGAATGTTTTCTTTATTAAGAGTTGCTGTGGAGCCGGGCGTTGGTGGCGCACGCCTTTAATACCAGCACTCGGGAGGCAGAGGCAGGCAGATCTCTGTGAGTTCGAGGCCAGCCTGGTCTACAGAGTGAGTTCCAGGACAGCCTCCAAAGCCACAGAGAAACCTTGTCTCGAAAACCAAAAAAAAAAAAAAAAAAAAAAAAAAAAAAAGAGTTGCTGTGGTCGCTTCACAGCAATAGAAACACTAAGACACTACCTGGCCACGGGACACTTATGCAACCCCAACTCTGGTGAAGAGCACTGAAATTCCATATTCTATAGAACACACCTTAGGAAATATTAGAGGAGACAGTGAGGAGTCGTACTGTCTATTGGAGGCTGAGGCCGAGGGAGGGACTTCTTGGGAGTCAGCCTGTGAGTTAGATCAGAGTGAAGTCTGATCTAGGAGCTGAGGCCTGTCTGTCTGCACGTGTTCCTTCCAGCACCAGCCTCCAGCTCCCAGCTCAGCTGACCTGGTCCCTGGACTCTGCTCACACCTCTTAGTCCCTGTGGCTCCCGGCTCTGCAACTCCTTTCCCTATAGGCTGTGGGGATAGCCAGAGGGCACTAAGGCCCTGAAGTCATCTTATCCCCAGGAAGCAACCAGAGTGGTAATGCTATGTGCTCCTGGCTAAGCCTGGCAGACTCATCCCCAAGTCAAAGGGCCACAGGCATGCACTGGTGGGCTGAATCACAGCCTGAACCATCCCTGGGGCTCTGGGGTGCCCTGGAGGGTGGGGCCTGGCTTCTGGAGGCAGATAGGAACTCAGAAGGGATGCAGCAGGTGTGAGGGTCAGGCCAGAGGCTGTGAGAGGTAGAGCTGGGGATGGGAGAATGTGGGATCTAAAGAGGAGACAGTCCAGAGACTCCGGTAGGGCCGCTCAAAGGCAAACCAGCTATGGGGCTGAGCTGTGTTCCCACTGGGCTGGGCATCTCTTTCTCTGGGCCTCAGTTTCCCTACCCAGGTCACAAAAGATGGACCTAGGCTCTGAGAGCATCTGGAGGGCTCTGTGATAACTGGCAGAAGTGTTCCACTCAGCTGGGCAGATGGCTAAGCTGTTCAGAGCTGTCAAGACCAGAGTTCAGCTCCCAGAACCCATGTGCAGCAGCTCAAAATCACTTGAAACTCCAGCTCCAGGGGAATCGGATATCATCTTTTAGCTTCAGTGAGCGCTGCACATACACAGACACATAGACGAAAATAAAAATGAGAGTCAGACTGTCCCTCCTATAATCTCTCTGTCCCCATTCATTTGCTCTGCTACAAAAAACCCATAGGAGCCTGGCATAGTCCCATCATTTGGGAGGCAGAGGGAGGTGGATCTCTGTGAGTTTGAGGCCAGCTTGGTCTACATAGTGAGTTCTAGGACAACCAAGGCTACATAGAAATGGAGCAGACCCTGCAACCTAGGAGAGACTCTAGGATTGAACAGG